GCACCGCATCACAATTTTTTATTTTTTTAAATCAGAGAGGGACTGACTGCATTTTCACAATAGTTCAGTCAGACCCAACAATAAAGGCAGCTTAATGTTTATAAATGACAAATCTGATTTTAACAGACATTCAAGAATTAACCAGTGTAGTAAAGTAGGGAGCAGAGGCGCAAACTTTGGCCCTCAGTCATTCTTCATCAGGAACGTCCTGATCGGCCGGAGGTACTGAGGAGCTAGTTATTGCCGTCTTCCCATCTTTCTTCAGGGCTTTCAGACATTTGTCGAGCCTCTTCATGCATAGCGTCACGTCGTCTCGAGTGATGCCCACAGCTGAGGCAGCGTTGAGGTAGGGACAGGGGTATGACTCCGAGTGCGACATGAATCCACGGAAGGTGTATCCGCTTACGGTCTGCTCCTTACCAAGTGGTATCACCCTGGACACATTAGAAAAGGAGAACTAATTGGAAATATCTTTGAGAATAGGTAGAACTATAAAATCTAAATGTTTTAAACATTATTCTACATAATTTATGTGTTTAACCTTTTTTTTCCTGTGTCCTCACATTGTTTATTTTCAGCCACATTAAAGTGAGGTCAGCTCAAAAGTTAAAGCCCTGTCAATCATTCCTCACTGGAGTCACAACCTTATAGCTTCCATGTCTTAGAAAGATGGACAGACTCCTTCCCATTGCCCAAATATTTAGCTGCCTTCATCGATTCTCCATTAGGTTAAAGTTGGAAGTGTTTAAAAAAATAGAATCCTTAGTTTTTATCTTTTTTTCTAAGGCTCTGCATTATAAAAAAAAAACAAAAAAAAAAACAACCAAAAAGACTTAGTAGCCAGCTAAATGTGATCAGCTTGCACAACGATCAGCACAGCTCAGACTCACTTTAATGTTAAATCAATTATTGACCAGCTCCTCACAGCGCTTATTAGAAACCCTTATGGTGGAGAAATGCATTGTAATCAAAGGGAGGAGGAGTTTTAATTGGTTTTGCTGAATGGTTGGCTAGAGCAAAGAAATTTCCTCTCACTGTATAGAGAACAGCCAAGTTCATAAAAATGTAATGATTTCTGTAACTGTAAATGCTATTTAAGGGTTCAAATGAGTCCATCCCATTAATGATATGAGAAGAGAATAAAAAGCTGCATGAGAAGTCGGTTAACATTCCCAAATACTTTTCCAGTGTTGATGCTGCTCTTTCCACTTTTAATAGAAACAATCCAATAAATTGGGAGCTGGCTTTGATAGGATGGGCTATCTAATCTACTAAAGTAGTTCCAGCTCATGCATTTGAATCATCAGTAATTTCCTCAGGCCTCTTCCCTCATTCCCTCAGCTCATACTCAAAATTTAGACTTACAAGATAAGATAGTGGAGAAATTCACCTGTCAAATTGGTTCTATAGTCAAAAGAAGGTGCCAAAGGAAGAAAAAGGTACATGGAGTATATACAGCGCTCCACTAATATACACGTTAAATTTATACATTTAACAAAAAAAACAAAAAACTCCTCATCCTTTAACTTTTCATTTTTGTACATTTATTTAAAAACCTTGCATGGTACAAAGCCACTGGTACACTTTGTCACTATAAAGCATTAAACATTTATGATTTTCAGGGGCTTTTATTTATAGATCATGAAAAAGAACACTCCAGTGTCTTTATGTCACCTTTCATTGTAAGTCGCACGAATGGAAATGTTCTTTTACCGTCTGAAAAGCTGTGCTAAAAGAAATTTTGTTTTGTATACACTTTGTATACAAAATGACAATAAAGGTTTTCTAAGTGTAAAGTCGGAACACTAATTATTGTTCTGTCAACATATTCTTCCACCTGAGCTGTGGCTCTCTGCAGCCCCCCCTGAGCTACCTACATCCTTGTCAGTTAAGGTAGACACCTTCATTCTTATTAGGGCTGAACTATTTTGTTTTTTTTATTTTTTTTTTAATGTATTATTTTAAACCAATATTGTGGTATTATTTTGATTTTCCTTTGCACTAACCACCAAGCATTAGGGGTGTGCAAAATAATCGTGATGATGATGCATCGTGATTCTAATTTTCGTGATCTACTGCATCGATTCTTGATGCCAAGAATCGATTATTAATTTTAAAAAATTAATAAATAAAATTGCATGAATGGTTGGCGAACATCAGCCAACAACAAGTGTAATACAACTTCCAGTCCAGTAGATGTCGCTGCAAATGTGTTGACGCACGCTGCCTTGTGTCACAAGCATTTCCGGCTGCGGGATACTGTGCCGAGTCATTTAAAAACAAAACATGGAGGATAAAATATTGCAATGCATCGCAATAATTCAAGTATCGTGATGCATCGTGATAGAATCGCATCGTGATAGAATCGCATCGTGGCCTGTGAATCGTGATTCGAATCGAATCGTGACTTCTTTGGCAATACCCACCCCTACCAAGCATGTGGATGTTTCCCTCCAGGGTTTGTTTTTAATCACCTTAAAAGCTTACTTATCTAGAGTCCATAGTTGCAGGATTTTCCTGCCATCTTTTTGTGAAAAAAAGCTTGCATGCATGAATCTGCATGATAGCTGCAGCTTCCCATCTGTGTAGTTGCAAACCCACTTTAAGCATATTAGCGCCACATAAAGGGCTGGAGTTAGAAATGTGTTGACTTTTGCTTGTTAAATGTAAAGTGACCAAATTGAGTGGCTCTGCGATCTGTAAATTTTTGTTTTATTAAATTGCGATCATATTGCAAAAGTAATTGATTGCCCGGCCCCAATTCTGGCAGGATGAAGTTGTCTTGTTCTGTTTCGATGTGATGCGCTGATGTATTTTAATTTTGTGATATTGATCTTCAGGATTTTTCCACATACTACCACTCTCTATCAAACCTCTAAAGCCGTAATGCAAGGGCTATATTATATTGGGATTCAATTAGATGCATGTCGACTATCTGCTAATTACCTCTGATGGAAACTCACTGCTAATTTTATTTAGGAGCATCAGATTAAGGGGAAGCTAAACAAAAAAAGCATAATTTCCTTTTTTTTTTTTTTATGAAAAAAATGGCACATCAACGCACCACCCATGTACGGAGGCCTTAGACCTCAACGCGGCTGACCCAGGTTCGAATCTGGCCTGTGATACTTTGCCGCATGTCTCTCCCTCTCTCTCATACCCCCTTTCCTGTCAGCCTATTGTCAGAAAAGTGAGTCACTAGTGTCGTAAATACTCAAAAAAAAAGTTTGTGTTTGAATGAAAAAAAAACAAAAAACAAAGTAAAAACAGATAAAGGGGTTTTCATTACCTTGCGCCCGACACCTGTCGGGTAAACAGCATTGAGCCCAGCTGAGTCACCGCCTGGCTGCTTGATGCTTGGAGTCCATCAAGGGACATGGCTGAAGGCACACACAGCCAGTTAAAACAGAGGTTGGAATGGGAAGGTTAGAAACATAAATACTGTGGACTTGAGGAGCAGTGAGATCATGTGCTGGTCTGGAATCATACCCAGAGATATGGGATTGTGTGGGGTGTGAAGCAATCTCTCCCCATGTGCAGACGCAAGACTCCTCAGCTCCTCAGCCAGGAAGGAATAAATCTCCTGCAGCACAGAAAGGGAGACGGCTCAGAGACGGACGGCAGAACAAAGTGAATCAGGAAGATATTTATGGTGACAACTAGAGTTTTAATCAACCAGCAGGAATCTTAGTTGTTTTTTAATCTTAATGAAGTTCAAAAGCAAGTCTGCATGGTTATTCTTTAGGTTTCACTGGAGCCAGAGCGTCCACCTCCCGTCATCTCTTGGCTGGGATGCTTGTTTGCATCACACTTCTACCTCCGGGATCAATTAGAGGAGCGGGAGAAGAATGCATGCTTTTAAACGGAGCATGCTTGAAAGATGCTGACAGGGTGCTTAGCACCGAGAGCCAAGCTGTTCCTGAAAGACTGAATCAGGCCACAGATGTTACAAGACCAAACCTGCACAAAAAAGCATTGTGCTTTTTTTTCTGCTCACTCCAGATTCCCTGCTGAAGCCTTTTAAAGGGCGAGCTGTCTGGAGGAGGACGAGTGTGTCCGCTAGCTCAGAGTATTTTCTCCTTCAAGAGGCAAACACAATTAGTGTTTCAAGTGTCCCCGTGTGTCCCTTGTTCCCTGATAACAAAGAGAGACGTTATTTCTGCCAGAGGGAAGAAGGAGGGGATGCAGCTGGCTACAACAATCCCTCAGTGTTTGGGTTGAGAAAATCTTCCATGAAAACACACTGTGCCCTCCTGACCGCCTCGCAGACCTAAAGTGTTGCTACTTGCAGCTCTAAGTGAACCCCCCCACCCAAAAGAAAACCTGAAAGCCTGAATTATTTAAAGCTCATCACTCCTCTGGGATCTGCAGACATGATGGAAAAACTGATTTTGTGTATTAATTATGCATCATGGCAGTCTGGCAGAAATCAACAAACCTCAATGCTGTCGGGAGGTTCCACACTGAAGTACAAATGCTTTGATTTTCAGTCTTTATGTATCAGGAAATAATAAAACAAAAAGTTTCAATCGTCTTTACCACTTCTAATAATTAAAGTGAAAACATTTTGTTTATACCCTTGATCTAGACCGTTGGTGTAGATGTGAAAAAGGACCAGAGAACTGAACCAAATTACCAGAGTGGGCATCATTTAATCAGCCGAGGCGGCAGAACAGAGGATGACTCGCTATGGCAGTCTGTGACTGAGTGAGTTGGATTTACACGTGGCTATGATGTTAAAAGCCTGTACGAATGACCTGAGCATAATTCAGCACTAAAAGTTTTGAGACAAATATTGCAGAAAGAAAAAAACTAAGAAAATGTAAAGGAAAACAAGCAAAGCAACATTTAAAATAGCCCCCCATAGAGACAGTTTTTTCCTTTTTTTTTGCCAAAAAGCACTGATTCAGGGGCTAGTCGCTCTTTGAACAAAAGCTCAGATGAATGAAAAAGCACCAAGTAATATGCAGAGCTATAAATAATTTCAAAAAAGCTAAAACAAACGTCTAAACCTGGTTTAGCAGTTATACCTCAAATACTTCAGTCTTTCTACAAGTGAATGATGTAACAAATGAGTCAGTATTTTCAGAGGAAAACAAAGTTATTCACCTCTGATGTGTTGTTGCATGTAATGTATTCTTGCTGGAAATACAGTAAAACCTTTTCTCCAAGAATCTCAACAGTCTCTAATCTACACACTATACTGCAGCTACTTAAAACAGGGCATTTTAACATAACTGGTTAAACTTGAGAAAATGGGTTACCGATGTAGCTTTAAAACATTTCTAAAAAATCTTCTAAGTCAGAATGAGTCATAAACCTCCACGCCCTTCATAGTGCAGCTTAGCACTAAACAGTACAAGGAGTGGTACAGTTGTTTAACAATACTGTAAAGATAAAACAATCAGCTCTTTGACAGGAATAACTGTCAATTTTCAAAATTATATAAAGCTCAGTTTTAGGTATTTTTAACCAAATGTTGATAAATATAAAAGAAATAAAGAAAACTTAAAATATTACATGAAGCATCCGAAAAAGTGGGATGAAAATGAGTAACCTACAGTGATGCATTGTTAGAAGCAGAATGGACTGAATGGTTAAATGTCACTATAGACTCGACCTGGACTTCCCTCTAAACCAACAGAGATTTTGGTTTGTGGCTCATCCACACTGTGTCTGGGTTTAAAAGCCTTCGCTCCACTTCTCACCATGTACGTGTTGGACTGTGGCTAAATATATTAATCCTGGTTTCCTCCTACCACCAGGCCTTTACCAGAGGGCATCAACTATTTCAAAATCTCAGTTAGTAACATTTACATTTGATGCCTACTGTATTACTTTATTAAATTCTTTATAGAAAAATCCAAGTTCCTCTTTTTTAACTGCTGCTTCATGATGTATGAAAGCAGTAAGGACACCATCTTTTAAACAGCCTCATTAGACTGATTAGGTTTTTGATTCAGGAAACATTATCTCTCAGGTGTCTGAAATGTTCTTTTTAACCAGAAAATTCTGCTACATAGATGCGTTAGATAAAAATGGAAGGCTGTGATTCAATGCCTTACTTGCTCTCCTGTGTGTTATTTATTGTAATGTGAACATCATGTGGTATGTCATCAAGTATATCAGTTCAAAAAGTGTCAAGATTTCCTATTTTAGCTTGATTTTTTCGACAGTCACATTCTCTGAGCTTGAAGGGAGGAAGAGTTTGTTCACCGACAACACATTTAGGCTACAGCAGCGTGGAGGAGTGGGAATGCTGCAGTGCCTGTGATGTGAAGAGGGGAGTGCTGCATCGTGAGTAACTCAAAAAGTTCTGGATCAATTTTATCTCCACAGCGCAGCCCTCCCTCTACAAAGCAAAGTGCTTGTTCAAGACCAGACCGCCCCGCCCCCCTGCCAGTCAGAATGATTCCTGAGGCTTTATGCTGCATTTAAGCTGCAATAAAGGAAACGTTTGACCTCTGTATTTGCAAACAAAGGCTTCTCTACCAAATATTAACATTGATTTTCTCAGGTGTTCAAATAATTATTTGCATGTATCATATAAACAAATAGTTAAAGAATCATACATTGTGATTTCTGATTTTTTTTTTTTTTTTTTAGATTATGTCTCTCACAGTAGACATCCAGCTACGATAATAATTTCAGACCCCTCCATGATTTCTAAGTGGTAAAACTTGCAAAATAGCAGGGTGTTCAAATAGTTATTTTCCTCACTGTATAAATAATGCATGTATATAATCAATTTTCAGATTTCTTCCCACAGAGTCTGTCGTATTTAGGTCTGAACTAAAACTAGAACATTTAACTCATGGATATGTTTGGATATTGGTCATTTTATTGTAACGTTTGCTGTATTGTCCAACTGGTTTTATTCCAGGATTTATCAATATTTATCTGCATTTTCTGTTTAACTGGATTTGCAGTGTTTGATCTTAACCACAATAGTTTTTGTTTTTTTTTTGCATGAGAGTTAAAAACAACCCTAACCTTATCATTAAGTGCTCTGACTGAGAGGTAGGGGAGGCAAGGTGATTTAGGGTGATCTCTAATGCCGTTGTTTAAATTACCTGCATGACTTGTGGCAAATTGCAGGCCTTAGTTTCAGTAGCAACTTTTTTGTGCTAATTTTAAGTTAAACTCAAACTTATAAGCACAGCTAACAGTTGTCTTCCTACCAATTCTTTCCATTTTCAGACGATGGATTGAACAGTCAGATGTTTAGCCCTTTAAAGTGAGTTTTTGAGACCTCTGCATCATCAGTGTGATATTTTTAGTCTTGAAATACTGACTTACACAATCAGACACATGTAGTGAACAGAAAATGTTTAAAAGATTAAACAGAAATCCTAATGTATCAAAATTGATGCCAATAAATGATGTAATTTCACTTATATAAAATGTCTTTTTTTTATTTAAGTTGTAAAAAAGGTTTACTAAAATTCTAATTTTGAAAAATTTAAAATTTCTGTCTATTATTTCATGGTGCAGGCTTTAAAAGGGATATTTCTATACCCTGCTTTAACCTTCTCCATAGCTTTATTCCCAGATTGTCCGTTTTTTTCTTTGCCTCTATGAAGCCGTTTAATCGGGGATGTTCTCCATAAAAATGTTTAGACCATCACAGAACAGCAGAATTTATACAGGGATTAAGTTATACACTGAATGACTATTAAATATATCCATTCATGCTAGCTCTTTTTGCATTCTTTTAACTTTTCTAATTTTTATGTAAATAAAAACAGCATCATCTTCCTTCTGCTTTACAATTCTACTTTGCTCTCACTCTCTCACATGAAACTAAAATAAAACAAAGTTTTTGTTTTTATCTGGCAATGAAAAAGAGAGGTTATGTAGCTTTGAATGCTGAGCAGAGATCCTACCCTTCTAAAAGAAGAAAAACTATTTTTAGCTTTTAAAAGGGTAGTGCTTGTCCTCACCTTTCTCTCGGACAGGTACTTCTTGTAGCCTTTGGCTCCCAGAGTGAGAAGGGTAATGAGGATGTCGAGGGAGGGTGAAGCTGATGCTCTTCCTGGACACAGGAAACCCAGAGGAGATTTGTGGGACAGTTAAACTAAACATGTAGCCAAGCGCCAAACAAACAGCTGACTTACAAATCAGATACTATAAGGAGAGGGAAAAAAAGGTCTCATTCAATTTGTAGTTCATTAAATGTTTTTAGTTTACAAATGCATAAAGACACATCACTTTCATTTAGATTTACTGTATGCCAATAATAAAAAAAAAAGTATTTCTGTGGTAGTTAAGGTTCAGTGCATTTGTGGAACTGAAATAAGGTTTAAACACAAGTGCAAGATCATTATAATACCATAGTTATGAAAAAAAACACAATTACAGACACCTTTTGTTGACAGCTAGTGCTTTTATGTCTGTTGGATCCCCTAAAATGCAGATTGGGCATAGATTTTGTACAGCTAATATATTAATCCAGTTGAATTTAATGGGCAAAGTTGGCACAAAAAAAAAAGATTATAGTCTGTGTTGTTTATTCCGTGGTTTTAGGAACTCTGGGTTTAACTTCAACCTATGGTTTGTGTTGAAGTGTTGTCATCCTTTTACAATGACAACTGCAAACAATATACTACTGGCTGCTTCAGCTTCCTGTTTTTCTTTGTTTTGTGAAATAATCAAGCAATAGTCATTATTTTACAATGTCAAAATTAAAACTTTTATAGGAAGAGGAAATAATAGAATTAGCATAGCAAATTAGCCAACAGCTCAGCTTGAAAAGGATGCGAGGAAGGAGTAAATTTTTTTAATAACTGTAGCTTTATAGGTAAAACCCAATATATCACCAGAAACAAAGTATATATATATCTATCTATGGATGCTTTACTGTGTTTCTTTTTTAACAGGATTAACTAATATTTCTGCATATTGAGGTTGATCTGCAAAAACGAAGGCTGGTAAAAATGTGTTGCCTTCAAAAAAAAAACTGGACACTAAAGTATCTGATGCGTCATTAGTGATTTGGTGTAATGCTGCTGAAATATCTTTCTTCCTTGTTGGATTCAAAGATATGTACCAAAATTGATTGAACTGCGTTTTAAGTTTCATTTTGAATGTTCTGTCGGACAAAAAGAAGTAATTCTAAAGATTTTACCAAAACAATTAATAAAAAGCCACAAAAAAGGTACAAAAACGGTTTGCCACGATTTATTTAGGTATTTCACACTAGACGTTTTTTTAGTAAAACTGCTTAAAAATCCATTAAAGCTGCTGAATAAATGACAAATAAGCACATGTTTACAATTTTAAAGCAAAACTGTTAAGAGAATGTTTTCAGACCTAAAAAAGAAATCAGAGCTACAACAAAATTATATGAAAAAAAATATCAGCTTTTGCCTATATTTTTCTAGTCAAGTGAGGCTTACAAAAAATAATCAAATTTATTTAAATAAAGGAAAATATTAAAGTGTCCCATCACAGAACAATTTTTTTGTTTTTTCTTTGTTTTAGGTCACTTGTCCATTTCTTTCCAGGATTACAGGCGGGCCACAGTATAATAACAGCTGCAGTATCTGTAACTAATCATGTAATTAATGCCCTGGATAGAAAACTGCACACTGTAGCCCTTTTTGTGGATCTCTAAGGCATTCGTTTCCACTGACCACCAGCTGCTGCTACACAAACGTACGGACATCAATGTGGATAATTCTGCCCTTGAATGACTTGGAGGAGTTAAGGGTTGACCTGTTATACTTGAGAGGAACTGTAAACTGTTCTGTGTTTATGTAGGACAGGGCTGATAAAAAAAAAAGAGATTTTATCACTGGTAAAAAAAACTTTTTTATAAAAACTTGCAGATAGTTAACACTAAAATGATCCTCCCTTTTCATAAAAAAAAAAAGAAAGGCTATAGTGAGCTATGAATACAAAAACAGATTTGAAAAGATTATTTGTTGAAAATCCAAATAAACAGACATTAGACTAACTATGTCTGACAAAGGCAGACATGTTTTCAATGACGCAGTGAAGATAGAGCTCAATTCAAAAAATAAATTCAGACTGAAGGTCAGTCGTTTTTTTTCAACATTACATCAGTGGAAAACAGGTTTTATCAGAATAATCAAATTTCTTGCCTTTGTTACGACCTCCTCAATACTATGGAAAGAAAACCGTATGAATAAGCTACCATTGAAACAGAAGGGTGTCAGATTTATCATTTATATTCTATAGGCACCGAACTCACTACAGCATAAAATTTCAAAAAAGGTGTCGGGTATCAAACACTGGCTGACCAAGCCAGGTCAGATTCTCCATTTCTGTTTACTCGTACATTCAGACTGCTCTAGGTTTAAAAGATCAATCTGAGGGGATGTTCTATATTTATTGTCTGGGAGAGTTAGAGAGAATAATTGATAAATAAAACTAAATATTTATTGTCACGTAGATAGGCATGCTCAACCAGTAGCATTAACATTTAGCCACATTTCACAAGCTAGAACAGGACTGAAGTAGAACATATTTATAATGTGAATGCTGTATAAACGTGTTTTTTCATGTTAAAGTTTGCTTTATAATGAAAGGTAGAACCTGTAACATTTACTTGGAAAAATGTAAAAAGAAATAAAACTCTGAAAAACAAGAATACATAAGCCACAACAGACAGGACTGCAGACATTCTGCTTTATCAGCTTTCTCTCTAAGGATGGCCTAAACTCACCTGGGTACATCTTGCTTATCTCCTGAACAAATGACTCATCGAAACCAGCGATGATGGCTCCACCTACTGGAACCATGAAGTTCTTGTCCAAGCTCTGAACAAAGGCATCAATTCTTCCCACACGAGCCCCCTAATACAAAAAAAAAAAAAAAAAAGATGGATATTTAAGAAACCGCTTTTCCCACTTGTTTAATAACACCACCTAATTTTAAGAAATCCTCGCCTTTTTGCATACACAAATGGAAAAGCAAATAACTAAGGAACTATAAGCCCAAATTACATGTGTGATACATCATTTGAAAGCTGTAGGACTAAAAGGCAGCCTAAACTGCATCAGTTCAAACATGAATCAAAGTTTGTTTTTTGTTTCTCGAAAATAATAT